GATGCGGGGCTCGATCCCAGGACCCAGGGACCATGACCTGAGCCGAAGGCAGACACTTAACGACTGAGCCACCCAGGCGCCCCAAAACACCTCCCATGTTTCTATTTCACAAGCACTTGGGTTTAGATTTGTTCAAACTCTATAACATTGATAGTCTTGCAAACCCTTATAAATGCACCATCAGGTCTATCCAACCACTTTTCATGGCAACGAAATGTAAAATGTGCAGCATGATATATGTGCTTTTAAAACATTCACAAATTCCCCCAAATGTACTACAGAAGTATCATAGTGATGATAAGATGATAATCAAACAACAGATGCATATTGAATATCCATTATTCACAGGGCTTCGTTCTGGAACTATGAACAGGGATGGGGGCAAGAAATCAGACACCTATGCTCTGTCTTTGTTCTAGGGTGCTTATAGTTTGATAAAGAAACCAGGTAAATGCACATAAAACTTAAAAATGCTATAAAAAAAACCTTTTCAATGTATATTTCTCAATTTAAAAATAAGAATTTTTTTATAATTTTCTCACAAAAAATATATGTTTTTTGTAGTCATTTCAGTTAAGCTGAAGTTGCAATGGTTGGTGCACACATTACTTTAGGAGATTGCAAAGGTCCTAAATTATTTATTCCATTATTTAAAGAATGCCGATGAACTACCTCTCTCAAGAAGGAAACTATGGAAGCCATTTTGAATTATTAAAAAGTTTTCCTAGCTGCCCACGGAAGGATAACAAATGTAATGAATCCGTGTGCTATTTTCCACTACACTAAACCATCACACATAATAATTTTCTATGCTCTTCTAAAATATGCACTTGCACGCACATGTGCACACACACTCATACAAACATACATGCTTGTTGCTTTTAATGGAAGAGCATTCTCGATACCTCTCAAACGAGTGAAAGTCTTGTTTATATTCTCGTCTGCCCCAGTTTATGGCCTCACAAAAACTCGCTCTTCATCCTAAGCACACACAGACTGTCCCGATTCCCCTTTTTGGTCAGTGAAGCCTCTTCAGAACACTTTAGGGGACAATGGATCTTTCTTCCTTGATCCCAGGGTAGAACCAAAATGAAAATAACAGACTTCAAGGGCCCAACCTCCTTCACGTCACCTCCGACTTCTCATTCAAAGGGGTACTTTGGGCGGCAGGTGGAGTTGTAATTATAGAGTAGAAAAAAGCTACATCAGCAGCTGTTGCTTCTGTTTGTTCCCGGCTATAACTGTCATCAGTGGGCAAATTGGCATAAACAGCCCTCCACAAGTGGAAAAACATTTTAACTCCTGGACTCGTCACACTCCGGGTCTTCTCGATGGCCAAAGAAGGAAAGAAAATCTGAGTGTGCATGAGCGAAGCGTGAAACCGAGCACAACACCGACCTGAAGGCTCCTCTTCAGGGGGAGCCTGAAATTGGAAGATTTTCTTTCCTGTCGGAGACTCCAAACCCAAGAAATAGGTTAGTGCACAAAGAGTACCCATGCATTTTCATTCTGACCTCTACTCTATCTGATCTTAATTTTTCAGAAGGCTGAGACAGACGGGTGAACTGATAAAGAAAGTGGAGGACTGTTATCTAAAACAAGGCTGCCCGTGAGAACAAATTATGAAATGGGCTTAATTTATTATGCTCCTCTCCCCCAATTTTGGCTGTACTCACATTAGACAGATAGACAAGGTAAAGATGGGAAAATGAGACTGGTTTTGCGGCATGGTTCCTGTCCTCTTGTAATGCCACTTACTTATGCCAGGAAGCCCCGGTTTCTTTACTAACATCAGTGATGTCAAAGGCTTAAGTTTGTGAATAGAGTGCCAGAGTTTTATTTCTTTAAGAGAAACAAGGCAAATTAGAGTTGGATTGTTTTCCCACCTCTGAATAAAGACAGGAAATTTTCTTGTTTAGGTAAAACGTGTGTTGCAGGCTACTTCATGTAAGAAATCTGCTAGAGGATTTATTTCCTGTGCCCAGCCCAATTCTACCTAAAACCTCCATAATTTCCATCTAAGTAGCCCTATAAGACCCTCCTCATAGATCCTTTTGAAGCAAAAAAGAGTTCAAAGAAATTTCATGTTATCTGTATATGCTCCACGTTAGAGAGTAGTGGGGCAGGATTTTCAAACAAAGATTAGTCAGGGCCATCTCAGAACTTGAATGTTTACTGTCTTATTGAGAAGCAATGGAATTGCAGAGAACTCACTGGAACTAGGCATTGGGGTCCAATTCTCATCCTACTCACATCTATGGAACAGATCCAAGTAGAGAGAGCCCAAATAATGACCTCCTTTTGGTCAGCTCCAAACAGAAAGTGAACCTCCCTCAGTATTTTATGCATGACTTTTCCTTGGGGAAAGCACACCTATCCTACTACCACGGTGGCCCTTCCTTGTAAAGTGTACACAGTGCTCACCGTGCACTCAGAGCCCCACTACAGAGGTACCCACATCCAACTAAAGCCACCAAAAGTGACCCATGAATTAAATTCCCGTAAGACGCTTTCTTCTTTTCAACAACATCTCCTGATTTCTAAGAAGAGAGCCATAAGTTCCCCTTAGGAAATTTAAGGATGAAATAAATACTTCTTTACATACTTTAGCAAATAAAGACCCAAACAGCAAGTTTGGTCAGTGCTTTTGAGAATGTCAATTAATACAGCATACCGATACCCTAACTCTTCCCATGAATTAAGAAAATATATGACAGGTGATACCACAATATATTTCATATATATTTGTTCATTCAAATATTACTGGGTGATGACTATAAAACCTGAAAATAATATTTAGAAATCGAGGCAAGTTCTAATATCACCCTTTCCAGAGACTACTTTCCTCCCCTTTTCTACTAAAAGATTTAGCGTGGAGATGGTGCTTATCTCCAAATTCCAAATCGTTTAAACAGAGAAAGGCAGAATGGGGAGATGGCTGGTCAGTGGCTTGAGTTTCTTTGAGACATAGACTTACGCTGAATCTTAAACATTGCTTTTTACTTGTGTTTTGTCTTCTTGCTCTTCTAGAAAAAAAAAGCTCTCCAAGATGACTGTCACGTACTCCAGTAAAGTAGCAAATGCCACTTTTTTTGGATTTCATAGGTTACTCCTCAAGTGGAGGGGCAGCATCTACAAACTACTGTACAGGGAATTTATTGTCTTTGCTGTTTTTTACACGGCGATAAGTTTGGTGTACAGGTACCTTCCTTTGCATGTCTCTTATATGGCCATCAAATATCACGTAAGAATACAGTCTCAAAAATCTGAGCCTTTGGTTGCCGCTGACTTTTGCATTATGTAACCTCCTCCTTTGCATGATCCTCTCTTGCCTTCTTCAACTCAGGACAGAGTATTTTAATCCACACCTAACCATGCTTAGGATGCTAAGTAGACTCTAACTATCATATTCAGGTGGCTCTCATTCCAGCCCCATGTTAATCGATCACAACGAGGGTTTAGTCATGCTGCCAGAGCTTTGCTAGAGGTACAAAAGGGAAGATTTATACGTAAATCGTCACTCAGTGATGATTTTGAATGGCAAAGGCCACAGATGAATAACCATTTGTGCCTATCTGCTATATCATTGATAATTTCAGTTTATGATTTGACAGCTTAAAGCAACTACCTACACAAGTAACGTGTTCGTGAATGGTGTATATCAGGCAACTTTCTTTTGCCTGGAATGACAAGATCTTATCCAGGATGGTGCCTGCCAATCTTACCAATACCTCAACTAAACCTGAAAACTAGTTTCTTTATATCTTCTGAGTTTGGGGCATGTTACATTCACAACAGAAGATGTTTATTCTTTATAACATCACAAGCTATGCCTGTCAGACTGACAGAAAATTTGAGCAATATCATGTCCAAGAAATACTTTCATGTCTAAAATTATAGTCTTAATAAAATTTTATCAGTAATACCAAAGAGAAGTTTTATGAGTTCTTAAAATTAAAATTGCATACATTTCTACTCTGGGGAAGTTAAAACTTAAAAAAGCTGAAGGTTTTTGAGGCTGTATTTCCACCTTTTCTATGTACTTCAGTTTGTTCTTTCCTGCATACAGATGAACAAATTTGTATTATCATTGCTCTTACCTACCTTCTTTGCAGCAGCAGGACTCCATCTGAAGAAGAGGGATAGTAATTTGGCCAGCTGATAATTATCAAAAGTAGAATAGGAAGAGCTATTTTGCTGCCTATCAAAAATATCTGTAAAAGGAAAGTTTTATTTACAAACCTCTAATAATCTTTCAGATGTGTCTTATAAATACAATATTATTTGGACAATTTATTTTTGTGTCACCTAATTCTTCAGAATATGAAATGGTGGAAGGCACATGACGTTTTAGAATAATTGTCTCATTAGTTTATTTTTACTAATGTGAGTTTATTGCTGCTGCTACTGCTGCTTAGGATAGAATAGCATTCAGAGCAGCTGCATAGTAGCCAGAAATGCTCCATGGGGCCTCAACTTTTGCTCCAGGATCTTATTTATACCCCGCAAAATTGTATGCATATATTCCTTTTAAAGACCAAAAGTGCTTACATTTATAACTATGACCAATTACGCGAGTCATTCTTTGTTTTTTCAAGTTCAACTATAAAATCTTGTTAAAATAGATGTTTGATCTTGATTGAAGGTATACCAAGATCTATAGGCTGAATTTACCAAAAAAAGTCAAACATACTTGTAGAAAAATATAGACATAGTGTCATTCTCATGTGTACTAATAACCCTAAGTTTTAAAATTCTACTATAAGCAAATAATTATACTCAGCAAAAATCGTAAGACAAAGCCAGAATTCATTTCTTTGATTATATCTCTTTTTACTTTTGGATGAACTTGACAAAATCATCATTTTAGTACTTTCTAGCTAGTAAACTTTCTATGTAGCTAATAGCTGAATATTTTTTCCTCTGGCCAATTATTAATAATAACAACCCCTTTATTATCAATTAAGTATGACACCATATGTTAAGTAGTTGTATATATAATATATTCTTTAAGCCTCATAACATTCCTAACATATAGGTATTATTATCCCCATTTACCAATGAGAAAACTGAGGCTCAGAGAGATTTAAAAATATGTTCCAAGTCCAAATCTGTAAGTAGCAGGTCTGGGATTCAAACCTGGCTTCATCTGATCTTATGGTCTGTGCTTTCCACATTTAAATCCTTTTTGACCATTTCTATTTGAGTATCAGAAACTGTTCTGGTTGTGACTTGTCATTGGCATGACCCTGATGGGCCTGTGTAACCCATTCCTGACTTCAGAACTTCTGACACTTCCTCCAAAGCTGAGGTGGGAACTCCAAGCCCACCCTGCACTCCAGGCCCCTCTGTAAGCACCAGCTCTTCATCTGCAACTGATTGGTGGCTCACTATTACCTCATTATCCCTCTGCTTCCTGTATCCAAGTTCTACTGCCTCAAACAGGTCTTTGGCACATGTTATAATGGATTTCCCAGGGATTTCTTCCTCCCTTAGAACAGCTGTTCTCATTCTTTCATGCAAATTCATCTGTGTTGCTCCTCTTTCTAGATCTTGGCCATTACTATTAACCTGCCTTGAGACCTTTCTTCTGACTCTGAATCCCCTCCCTATAATATAAACATCAATAATAGTTTCATTAAATGAATTTCTGTTGAACAATACCAGAAAATGAGTTTTGGTCAGATCTGTAATATAAATTTTTATATTTATATTATGTAACTACAAACCCACCAAATATAGTAATAAAAATTTTTACTTCTAGTTATATCTGTGTTGTTTTATATTTTAAGTAATTGTAGGCTGTAAAATAAACAGTTATATCCTTTGAAGTACAGCACATATAATCAAGAATGTGCTAAGTAGCATATTCAGGAAAGAGTAAGATCAAGATGTCAAATTTAGGGTTATTATTTAGTAATTAACCTAATAACTGTAATTCACTTAATCAAGACACTTTTTTTAAGCCTACCTGATGAATAATTGAAAATTGGACTCTTTCATGGGGTATTTTGCTCTAAATCCAATGTATTCATCACATAAAAGCTTAAAATATAAAGTATCTAAAAATAAAAGTTAATAAACCCCACTGTCTAATGGCCAATAACATTTATGTATTAAAAACATTGGTACTTGAACCATTCAGCAATTAAAAACTTTTGAGATACGTCAGCTTAGGTAGGAAAAAACGTTATTGTTCCTTAAAAAAAAAAATTACAATTATTTGTGCTTAATTGTTTGCACTGAATATCACTTGCAAAGCAGGTGCAGAAGTATAATATCATAAAGGGCTGTGCATTTTATTTTTGCTCCAGATTGTTACTTACAGGAGCCCAAAAACGTTACTTTGAAAAATTATCAATTTACTGTGACAGATATGCTGAACAAATTCCAGTAACCTTTGTGCTTGGTAAGTATAGGTCACACGCAGAATGCAGCCACACAGCTGTCTCCGTTAGGATGACACGGATGACTCTGCATGGGAGTGTGTCCAAGCTGGGAGGCATGCCTGAAAAGACACTGCTTTGCAATAGAACCCCAACCACCCGCAAGGTTTGCCTTCAGGGCTGCTTTGGCTAAATTAACACCAAACAAGTTTGAGGTCATCATTTGTTATTGGACAATCAAGCTTCCTCTTCACTAACTGTCCATTTTTGCTGTCAATATTTGAACTCTAATACCCACTTACTGGGTGCTATGGCATTGCCAGGCACAAATTACTTAATTTTTTCCTTTGGAGGGCAAAATCGTAAGATACGGGTAACAACGTAATTTTACACCCCAATCCCTAAAAAGGCTGAAGTTCTGCTGAAAGCATCAGGGTCAACATGTCTGCCGAAAGAAATTGCTTTAGAGTTTCCTGTTATTTTGCAGGGTTTTATGTTACTCTGGTAGTGAACCGATGGTGGAACCAGTTTGTGAATCTGCCCTGGCCAGACAGGCTGATGTTTCTCATCTCCAGCAGTGTTCACGGAAGGGACGAGCATGGGCGCCTGCTCAGAAGGACACTGATGCGCTATGTAAATCTCACGTCTCTGCTCATCTTCCGTTCTGTGAGCACCGCTGTGTACAAAAGGTTCCCAACGATGGACCACGTGGTTGAAGCAGGTAATTCTGAATGACTTTGCCCTCCATCGACTGCTCTCAGCCTGGATGGGAACCTTCAAAATTCCTCTGAAATTTTCTTTTATTTATTCATGCATTCAAGAAACATTTATTGATAACCTACTATGTGCCCAAAACAGTCTTTTTTTTTTTTTAGATTATTTATTTATTTATTTATTTGAGACAGAGAGAACGAGAGAGAAAGAGAGCATATGAGAAGGGGGAGGGTCAGAGGGAGAAGCAGGTTCCTCGCTGAGCAGGGAGCCCAATGCGGGACTCGATCCAGAGACTCCGGGATCATGACCCGAGCCGAAGGCAGTCGCTTAACCAACTGAGCCACCCAGGCGCCCCAAAACAGTCTTAAGAGGCAAAAATGAGTAAGACATACTTACTGCTCTCAAGAAGTTTACTTGGGGGCAAAGGAGGGAAAGTAGCAAACAGTCAACTTCAAATTAAGTGGCAAGGAGTCACATGGCTTTTAGGTAAATATACCATAATAATAATTACCATATTTATTAGAACAATTTTAATATTATCTGACCTTTTCTAGCACTGTATAGTTTATCCATTTTCATAAATATTATTTCATTTGGACCTCAAAAAATAAATAAATAAAACATGAGAAAGGTAGGAAGTAGATTCAGAGAGGTTGTGACCTGCCTTGGATCAACAGCTAATTAGCGGAAGAGCCAGAATTATAATTCAGGCTTGGAACTCCTAAGTTAATATTTTTCCCAAAACCTAAGTAGATTCTAGTAGGAACCAGCAATGTGAGTTTTCACCTAGGCACTGTAGCTCTGTTGTCTCTCTCTCTCTCACTCCTCCAAGTAGATGGAGTTGGGGGCGCCTGGCTGGCTCAATCTACAGAGGGTGCAACTCTTGGTCACGGGGTTGTGAGCTCAAGCCCCATGTTGGGTGTGGAGATTACTTAAGAAAAATCTTAAAAGAAGGAATAAATGCAGTTATTCAACCTGGGCTCCTGGACACAGTATGCTGAGGACAAATCATGTTGGAAGGATGGTTCTCTTTGGTGTGTTAATATTTAGGAGAGAAGCTGTTAAAGCAGCCCTCAATGGGATGCGGATTAAATGAGATCATTGTTGGCAGGCACTGAATAAAAGTTGGTTGTTGTGCTGGGTTGTTGTTAGTCAATCTGAGAGTTTGTTGGGATATATTAATGAATACATTTTTAAAAACCATGAGATGATTCTGCCTTTATATTGAGTATAGTCTCAAATTAGGTTGCTGTATCCCATCTCTTTTTCTGAAATGGCCTTGAAAACAGATTTTTTAAAAAAAGATTAGTATTCTGGAGCTCTTTTTGGAGGTTTTTATGCATGGGCATAACGAGCCTCCTTCTGACTTCAGTGACTCAGTTGGTTTGTGTGGAGCCTCTGATGGAGGACAGAACTGACGGAGCCAGGAGGGGCTAAAGCCTGTGTGGGTTCCTCTGTGGCCACCGCTGACATCACAGTGAACATGTCCCTCCTGTTCTCGTTCACTCCTCAGTTTCTCACAAAAAGCAGAAAAGGCGGTAGTTGGACAGCTTGTGCCCCCAGGAACATAAAGTTTGTGCACTGGGCAGCGGGGCCAAGGTTCCGAACCACTGCGCTTGAAGCTGGGGGAGCCACTCCAGAGGCCGGGTCCTTCCTGACTGCCCACGACCCACCACACTGAGGGGTCACCCACTCTGTGGACTGGCAGCCGACTCACCGACCTCTTGTTCCTTTCCCCCACAGAGAGGGCTGACTCAGTGTGCACACGGGCTCAGTTTCCAAGCTCCCCGAGCTGGACACATGCCTCCACCACTGTCTGACTGTCCTTGGCCTGTGCCAATGGTTCTGGGAAGAACAGGAAGTTCAGGGATGGCGGAAAATGTTTGGCAGAGCCCCTGAGCCCAGAGCCAGGGCACCTGCTCCGCCTGAGGGCAGAGAGGGCTGGTAAGTAAAGCACAGGGCCCCCGGGGCTGGGGCAAAGGCTGGAGGCAATGTTGAAAGCACAAGAAAACCTACTTCCTGTCAGGTGACTTTCCTACATAAAATCCCCTCTCAGAAAAAGTACATGTTCTCAAACCTCAGTGCACATTAGATATTATTAAAAATCAATATTGCTAAAAACGCAGATCCAAGATACCACCCCCAGAGATTCTGATTCAGCAGATCTGGGGTGGTGTCCAGGAATAAATGGATTTAACAAGCCCCTGGACACTTTGAGGCAAGGAGTGCCTGGATCACATTCTGAGAAACAATGGGTTTTAAGGCGATCAGAGTTTCCCTCTAACCTCTGCGCCTGGCTTCACGGAGGGTCCCCGCTACAAAGATTCAGGACTGGCCAGGAGGAACTGAGTGAGAGGGCAGAGAGAATGAAGACCAGCATCTCCTTCTGAAGCATCCGGCAATCCCTTGACTGGAGCTGGATGAGCTAGGTCACTCACCTGCTAGTCCCCCAAACTTTCCTTGCTTTTAAGTTCGACAGTCAAGTTCCAATAGTCTGGAAAATTAAAAGGACCAAATGCACCCCATGGGGGTAATACATATGCTCTGATGTTACAGGTTAAATTTCTCAAATTAAAAATAAAATGGTTTCATTTCTGCTCACATGAAAAGAGAAATAACAGAGTGCAAAATAATATCTATCATGCTAAAAATTCCCTAAACTGGTCTTTTATCAGTTATTTACCAGAGGAGCTGTAACAGAAGCGTCTCTATCATTTTGCCTATTGGCAACAAACCTGGCCTGGAAAATTCCAGTCATTCCAATCACCAGCCCTGGAAGATGTCACTCAACCTAAGTCAAGTCAGGTGCACAATCCAGACCTTCGCCGATTCAAGCGATGGCCTTAATTGGGTGTTTGCATTATGGAATGAGACTGAATCAAAACATTTTATCTGGTGTTTCACAGTGATCAGGAGAAAAAAATATTTCTCTCCAAAATTACTCACCAGAAGCACAAAAATAGGTAACGGGAAATTATCTACATTCCTCTAAAAGAAATGTTACTAAAGCTGTTGCTAAATCTGTCATGCATTTGCTTATTCTGGGTGTATATGATATGCCAGGCACCGTGCTGAGCACGGGAGCACAGCTCTAAGTGAGAATAGATCTGGTCCTTGGCCTCGAGGATCAGTAAAAATTGCTACAAATCTTTGCTCACATGAATCATTTTCAGAGACAAGCACAACTGTATTTACAGCTGAACTTTCTATCTCTACACTGCATTTCTGTTTCTCCAAAATCGTTTCCTTCTGTGCTTGGTAGCCCCTAAGAGGGATTAGAAAACTGTAAAATTTGGGGTGCTGGAGTGGCTCAGTCAGTAAAGTGTCTGATTCTTGATCTCAGCTCAGGTCTCAATCTCACGGTCATGAGTTCAAGTCCCACATTGGGCTCAGGCGTGAAACCTAGTTAAAAAAGAGAGAGAGGAAAAGAAAAACAGTAAAATCTGAGGAAAGGGCACTGTTCAGTTTTCTTAAAGCCCCAGAATCATAACGTGAAGTTCCTGGAGCTTCTTCTATAATGAGAGAGCCTGAGGAGACCCCATCAAAATTTTTATCGGCACTTAGGGTTAACAGACATTAATACAACTAAGCAAACTCCCAGTTGTCAAATGGCCGTTGAAACACAAATTCTACCTTTAGATTCACTGGCCGGAGGGCTAGCCCCGTACTTAGATCATATAACCTGTGATCTTCTCTCACTAAGCGAAATCAAATGGATGTTGTGTAGTATTGACTTTCTGCCCTGTGGTCTGCTGTTCAAGTTCTTTCGGACGCATTCCATGGCGCTGGGGCTCCTTGGTCTCCGTGAAGTCTCTAGCTACTCAGCTCCAGAGAGATGACCAAGGGGTTGGTGGTATTCATAGCTGTGCCAGTTTTTATTCTTGGCTGTACTTTCACAACCTGAGTCACTTACCCCTATAGTCTCTCATGATGTGCCCAGAACAGACAGAATGTCATCCTGTGAGTGAAACTTGACTCACTTATGCACATTTGCTCTACACAGGAGAGAAAGTGCACGGCGGAGCTAGCTCTACTTGAATTAATGCCATGGATGGGTAGTCTCAGCGGGTCAGTGCCTGAAGATCCCACACAGTTCTAAAAGTTAAATCAAGGCATCCACTCAATGTTTCTCAAAGTATGATCGTAGACTACATTTATTTATCAAGGGTACTTTTTTTTTTAAAGATTTTATTTATTTATTTGACAGAGACACAGCGAGAGAGAGAACACAAGCAGGGGGAGTGGGAGAGGGAGAAGGAGGCTTCCTGCCAGGAAGGGAGCCCGATGATGCGGGGCTCGATCCCAGGACCCTGGGATCATGACCTGAGCCGAAGGCAGACGCCCAACGACTGAGCCACCCAGGCGCCAGGATCAAGGGTACTTTAAATTGCACGTTCCTGGGCAGCTGGTGGAATTGGAATATCTGGGGCTTAGCACTTAAGAATCCCCATTTCAAACAAGCTCCCGGAAACACTGTAGGATGTTTGATCCACGCCGAGAATGTTAAAAATGGCACAGCCATTCTGTGCACTAGGGTAGATGTTCCTAAATTTTGTTGCAGTTTGAAATCACTAGGGGTCTTTTAAAAATACTGATGCCTGGCTCCCACCCCCAGACATTGGGATTCAATAGGTGTTTGATTCAAACTGGGCAGCGGGAGTTTTAAAAGCCCCCCCGACCATTCTAATATGCAGCAGAGTCTAGGAAGCACTGTACCAGCGCGTAGAGCACACTATTAACTCCTCCAACCTCACCAGCAAGTCACCTCGGGTCTAGTCACTCAGGGCAAATGAAATTCTGGGCCACCTGGACAGGTGAGGATTAAGAGCACTGATTTGGGGGGTGTTATTTCCTCTGTGTCCTGTGTAGAAGGCAGTGAACTATAAGGGGACAGGGATATGGCTGAGTAGAGATGTTTTACCCATATCAGGAAAAGAGAGAAGGTTCTCTGTCTCTGGTCAGCATTGCTATCCTAGAAACTGATTTTACTCGACCAAATCCTATTTCAAGCTTTTCGAACTATGGGTTGTAACTCATTATTGGGTTCTTTTTTTTTTTTTAAGAGTTTATTTATTTATTTGACAGAGAGAGACACAGCAAGAGAGGGAACACAAGCAGGGGGAGTGGGAGAGGGAGAAGCAGGTTTCCCGCTGAGCAGGGAGCCCGATGATGCAGGGCTTGATCCCAGGACCCTGGGATCATGACCTGAGCCCAAGGCAGACGCTTAACGACTGAGCCAGCCAGGCGCCCCTCATTATTGGGTTCTTAAATCATTTTAATGGCTTGCAACCAACATTTTTAATGGAATGGAATGGAATAGAATAGAATGGAACCGATCAGAAAATATCAGAGAGCACACCAGCTGGAAGAACCAATCATTGTTTGGGAACCCCTGTGGTTCATGTTTAAAAAAAAAAAAAAAAAGAAGTCTGACATCCTGCCCATGCACAGCGTTTTCACAATGTGATGCCATTTCTCTCCCTCAACCTCTCTTACCTCCCTTTGATTTTTCCAGTTGACAAGGATTTCTAAACTTCTACCGTTAAGTTTAAAGGAGCGCTGTAGTTGAATCAGTGCTTTGTTCCACTCATTTTGAATGTACAGTACAGAGACGAAAATGAGCCAAGCACACTGCAATCTTCCTGAAAAAGTCATCTCTTTGAGAAGGGCTCAGATGCTGAATGCACAACTTTATCTTTTAGAAAGAACTGGCAATAAACCCATTCTGCCTTCAGGTTCTGAGATGCCGAGCTTTTAGTTCTTCTGCTAATAGAGTCTCATTTGCACTTGCACACTCTGCTTTAAAAGCAAAAGACATCTGCCTCAGAAGCAAAAGACATCTGCCTCAGCTTCAACTGAGGCAAAATAGACCAACTGTACAGCAGATGAAAATCTATAAAGACTGGATAATTGTTTATCAGGGGACTTAATTAGGCCTCTGGCTTGAGGGCAATAACATTTTGCCTTAAAGTAGGAGGTCCTACTTTATCAAATCACAATTCAAGTTGCCATCGTGTGGGTGTGTTAAACTCTGGTTTGAAATATTAAGGAGGTTTCTTGGGATAAGTATGAAAATTGCTGAGCAAAGCTGAACTGGCCAGAAAGCCAGAAGGAAGAGAAAGCAAGAGAAGCTCTGGGCAAATGTAACAGCAAGATAAAATAGCAATGTCAGGGCTGTGGATAGGGCCCAAGGGTACATGGCATGGAGAGTGACAGGCCAAGGTCACAGGGTCGTGTGAGGACCAGTCCAATTGACAGGACTACCAAACTGTGGCAGATCAGTGCCTGTGGATCACACAGTCCTAGAGATGAGGGAAATGACCACATTCTGAGAAAGATCACTGGTCTCTGGTTACAGTGGCCTAAAGTCCTGATAAAGGTAGCATTCCATTAAACGTTCTTTCAACTGATTTGACCAACAATCTATATATATTTCCTTGTAATCAACCAATGACTTGATTTCCAAAGACAGGGTCAGTTTAGATAAGACATGTGACCCTGCGGGGAAGAGCAAAACCACCATGTCTGTGCACTCTTGGAGGACACATTCATGTCTGGTTTGTCACCCATCTTCCATGGAGCCTAGCAAAGTACTCTGTACCTCGGGGCTGAAAAATTAAAAATCACCAGCTTTCCTTGCTCTGCATTTCCCCTTCCAGTTGGTGGGTGTGCTACCTAGGGGAGGAGCTAACTCTAGCTTTAGGGTCTGCCCTGAATAAACCCTCACTCTGCATAGTTGCGTTCTGCTAAGAAGCCAAGAACTTGCCAGCACAAATTGATCCATACTCTTGAATAAAAAATAAGCAGAGGTAAAGTTATTCTTTGGTCAAATGACAGAGATTGCAGCTAGTATATAAATGGGATAATTTTTGAAAATTGCAGTATAAATCCCAAGAATATAACTGCTGGCCAATGGATATGAAATGTATGAGAATAGGCTTGCAGGTAAAGCATGAACTACTGCTGCAAATCTTTAAGTATAGATCCAAGACAGGTCAAGTTTATTAACTTCTTGTAACAAGGTTCAGTCATGCTCTGCAAGTCTTTAAAAAGAAAAAAAAAAAGCAGAGTATCTGGATCAGGCAACAACTTTGAGATGCACTGAGAAACGAGAAGAGAATGATCAGGCTCATTATTTTTGACATCCAGAGGAAGCCCAATTCCTCAGACACGGGCAGAACCCTTCTAAGCTAATATAAATAACCTGAGCATTATCTAAAACGAGTCTCCTGTTGGTAAATATTGGCTTTGTCGTTGATAGCTAGGTTTACTTCAAATACTGAATAAATAGAATCTTCATTTGGCGAGGTAGTGATTTCCTCTCTCTTTTTTTTTTTAAGATTTTATTTATTTATTTGACAGAGAGAGACACAGCAAGAGAGGGAACACAAGCGGGGGGGATGGGAGAGGGAGAAGCAGGCTTCCCACTGAGCAGGGAGCTCGGACACGAACACGAGGCTCCCTCCCAGGACCCTGGGATCATGACTTGAGCCGAAGGCAGACACTTAACTGACTGAGCCACCCAGGCACCTGCATCATTATTTTTTAATAGCAAAAAACTTAAAACAACTTAAATGTCTATTCAAAAGAGGACTAGTTAAATAGAACATTGTATACGATTAACCATTAAAAACAATGATGTTGCTCTGTATGTATTAACAAAAAAAGATCTCCAAGATGTAATAAAAAAATAGAAACAAATGACAGATATGTATGTAGTGTAAAGCCATTTGTGTTCTTAAAAATTAAGCCTGTACGATATTTCTCTGGAAAGATACACAATACACTGGTCATAGTGATTCCTTCAGAGAGGGAAACTGTGTGGCTGGGAAAATGAGACTGACTCTTCTTATTAATATTCTTTTGGCCCTTTTGGGTTTCTGTACCATTTGAATAACTCAAAAATTTTTTAAAAAAATAGAAAGTCGGGCGCCTGGGTGGCTCAGTTGGTTAAGCGACTGCCTTCAGCTCAGGTCATGATCTTGGAGTCCCGGGATCGAGTCCCGCATCGGGCTCCCTGCTCGGCGGGGAGTCTGCTTCTCCCTCTGACCCTTCCCCCTCTCATGTGCTCTCTCTCTCTCTCATTCTCTCTCTCAAATAAATAAATAAAATCTTTAAAAAAAAAAAAAAGAAAGAAAGAAAAAAAATAGAAAGTCAAGCGTAAACTGCAAGCTTTTAAAGTACATACTTGAGGGGCGCCTGGGTGGCTCAATTGGTTGAATGTCCAGCTCCTGATTTCGGCTCAGGTCATGATCTCAGGGTCATGGGATCCAGCCCCACATGGGGCTCTGTGCTCAGTGGGGAGTCTGCTTGAGATTCTCTCTCTCCCTCTCCCTCTGCCTCCCAAAAAATAAATAAAAAATAAAGCACATATTTGTATGAACAAACCCTGGTACATAATAGACATTCAGTAAATGTTTGTTAAATAAACCTGCTCCCATATTTCTCCTCTCCTCTTACTCAAATCTCTTCTTTCCTTGGTGTGCAGGTTGGGGGGTGGGGTGCATAGCTAAAATTTCATAATGTATTATGCCTTGGCACTTACTGAGTGCTAAGTATGTGCTAAGCATTATGTTAACCTCTTGACATGTAGTCATCATCTCAGGTAATTTTGTAATGTCCCTGGGAAGTAGATATTATCATTTCTCTTTTACACCTGGGAAAACTGAGGCTAGAGAGGTCACTGCAAGCTCAGGCAAACTGTGTTATATACATGCACACAAACAAAGACTGTAAAAAATATACTTTTAAGATATGCTGTGGGCACTATGAAGATCATATGCTCATTGCCCTTCCAAAGGGTCTTGGCAGGAGAAACCTTTATGTATGACATTCCTATAATAAAAGGCAACAGAGAGCACAGTCTGGGGAGGTTTGAAGGGGAAAAATCCCAGGGGAAGGAGAAGACAGGCATCAAGGAAGGCTTCACAGAAGGGGACCTGTTTGATTAGGACTGTGAAGAGAGCAAGCGATCAGGAGGAAAAGTATGTGATTCGTGGTTTCCATGCCATACTAAGTGCTTTGTTATGTTAACACCTTTTATTCTTTTAATCCTAACATTTTTTTTTAAGATTTTATTTATTTATTTGTCAGAGAGAGAGAGAGAGCACAAGCAGGGGGAGTGGCAGGCAGAGGGAGAAGCAGGCTTCTCTGATGTGGGACCCAATCCCAGGACCCTGAGATCATGACCTGAGCCAAAGGCAGACGCTTAACCGACTGAGCCACCCAGGTGTCCCATTAATCCTAACATTTCTAAGTATTCTTGTTCCCAATTTTAGATGAATAAACCAAAACCTAAAGAGGAAACCTTCCCCAGATGTTCTAGTCCACATTTAATGTCACCTTACTTCCTACTGGCCATCTCTATGAGGGATTACCAACGTGCCTTGCCTTACATATTGTTGTTAGATAACTTGTGTGCATTCACACATACACATTCCTTATCTCTAATACAAGTATAAACTACTTGAGGCAAGAACCTTCATTTTATGCATTTTTAATATCTCCCCATTGTATGCTCACATAGTAACCATGAAACTATGTATGGTAAATGTATTAGTGCTAAACTAATTCTGCATAATTGCACTATTTTTGTTTTGTGCTAAAGGTTTTATGACAACAGATGAAAGAAAATTATTTGACCATCTCAAATCTCCTCATCTGAAATACTGGGTTCCATTCATCTGGTTTGGAAATCTTGCAGCTAAAGCCCGAAAGGAAGGTAGAATCAGAGACAGTGTTGATCTGCAATCATTGATGACTGTAAGTACATCACAAACCATCAGTATAAGATGCTAATCAGAGACCAACAGGCATCTGGATGTAACAGGTTGTTCTGGTTCCAAAGGAACCAGAAAGACTGGGCTAGTATCAGAACCCTCAACATGCAGGACAGGAATAATACACAGGTTTTAAGTCATATTGATTGGTGGTGGTTGCTTGGAAACTCTGTCTAAACAGAATTAGGCTTTGTAACAGGCTCTGTAAGAAAGTGTCCCTTAATCGATTAGCAATAGCTGCCAAGAGTTCTGAATGATCTGGTGCCCACGTGGCATATTTACCATCCCTGGCTCCAGGATCCTAGAATAAAATCTGGAGTACAAATAAACCTGCCCAGTCAGTTCCCGCAAACTGGAATTTCCTGAGGTTAAGCCAACTTTTCAGATACTCCAGGAAACAAAATGATGTTTTCATTAAATGAAATAACCCTGAGTTCATCTAAGAAACAAATTTACAGAAGGGCTAGATAGACATGTACCATGACAGTCTTCTGCCTGAATTAGGCAAAAAGGAGTGAATGTTATAAAAATAACTCCCAAATTAACTCTTCTTCCCAGTCTTACATAATAACTTACGCATGATAAAGGGGGGGGGGGGAATCAATGGATTCGAGTCCTTCCTGCTCCAAAGAGAGATATTTTCTATTAATATAAGTGTTGTAAAGTCCTCATTTGAGAGGGTGGGGGCGTGCACCTCTTTTTTTCTAAAATCTATAGTAAGCATATTTTCAAAAGAGGTAGGGAAACAACAACAACAAAAAGTCTGCTCTCCACAGAAATTTACCAAAATGGATAGAAATGACTTATTTAAAATATTGTTAAATAAACCTTATTTAAAATATTAACCCCTGCCTTCCCATCACCACTTTGGGCCAATATACATGTTAGAAATTATGGATTCAACAGAGTAGGGGATAGTTCTATAAAGTGCTGATTTAATATTTTTTAAAATGTCCAACTGTAGTCATCCTTTTTGCATTGTGGAATGATGTTGATTGTCATTTTCAGAATTTTCCTTTTGGAGTTGCCTTCAGAACCAATTACCAGCCTTACCAAGTTAGCCTCATCATTTACAGACATATTCATAAAAGCCATGGCTATATTATGAATCCCAGGAAATATTTGTTGCCACACCCATCATTGTAGTAAACTGTGTTTTATCTGTTTTTGGCTTAGGAAATGAACAAATATCGCTCTTGGTGCAGCCTCTTATTTGGCTATGACTGGGTTGGGATTCCACTGGTCTACACCCAGGTATCAAACACTTTGCACGTGGTTTTTCCTCGCTACTTGCCGTGGGTGCTGGGCGCCGGGCTCTCACTCAGGCTTCTCTCCACCGCAGGTTGTCACGCTGGCTGTTTACACCTTCTTCTTCGCCTGCCTGATTGGACGCCAGTTTTTGGATCCCACCAAAGGCTACGCGGGGCATGACTTAGACCTTTACATTCCAATCTTCACTCTCCTGCAGTTCTTCTTCTATGCAGGATGGCTCAAGGTAGCCCACGGTCTCCATGCCTGAGATCCGCTCTGTAATCCCTGTCCTGTTCTACACTCTGCACCCTGGTCCTTTACTGAGTCACTCGTTCAGGAGCCCTTCAAAGGTAGATTTAACATTTAATCGCCCAGAGATGTCATTACTTTTAAAGTAGGGATTCAAGAGGTGGTGAGTACCGTATTACATCAATCTGAAGCGAAGAGATTACAAGAACACTCTTTCATGGCTACTGATTTTTAAGTCTTTGTGTGCTCCCATTAAGATTATAGTAATGTAATTAAAGTAATAACTGTAACTGCCTTGATATTTTATACCACAGTAGGCAGCTAGGCAGAGTACAAGAGAGTAAATAAGAAGCCTTAAGCATTAGTATTGTATTATTATCTTGGTTCGGCTCAACTCCGTAGTTAACTGCGACTCTCTGAAATCCCACTAGCTGTCTCACATTAAATGCATCCCATTTTCAAAACCAGAACTGAGCCTCAGAAAATGATTCATCAGAATCAAAACCAGAAACACCGGGATTTATGACAACATTCGGTTTGCCAGGAAATTAAAAACAGGTCAGAGCCATGAGAAGGACTTGTCCCACCATCAGTGCAGAATTGCACTTGTCCCCACCCCCAGCACCCCCCTCCCCTCCCCCCTTCACCCTGGACGCATGCGTAGACACCATGGCCTGAGTCTTCCAGCTCTTCTGTGAACCTCCGAAAGAGAAGTACACGTACACACACACACACACACACACACACACACACAGATAAGAGCTCCATTAAGTTAATTGAAATCTAATGACAGTTTGAAGATGACTTGAATAAAATCCAATTGTCCAACGTTTGACCTTCCAGCCAGCCACATGTTGCATGTGGGCACTGAGGCGGCCTTTCAGGCTGTGGCAAAATTTTCCCCGCCAGTGCCTTTACTTTTTGGTATGAATCGTAACCAGGGAAAATAAATATGTCTGCACTTCAAAAACTAAAGGCGTGTCCCTTATAATTGGCAAAAACATTTTCAGCCGGGTGACAGTGATTCTTAATTATTTTTACCCATTTAAGACAGAGAAAGAGCAAGAGAAACTAATAGCTCTCGTCTCCCATTCGAGAAAAAAGAAGACTCGAGTCTTAGAAAATCACCACGCTGGCCCAAATGCTCGATCATTCTGGTCTTTTATTGTCCTGTCCCCTGAGTTGTGCTGAGCTTTTTATTCTTTGCTTTGTGTCCCTGCGAGGTGTTTGCCCAGCGTGTTCGGAACTGTTAGCAGTTCCTGCCTTCTGAAATGCTCTCTAAAATATTAACATTCTGTCCCTTTATAAAATACTTTTAAAGGCAAAACATGAAAATACAATCTTAGCTCCTTTAAGAGACAGACAACCCTAAAAGAAGTATTTTCCCACCCAATGTATTATATCTCACTTTCTAAGTAGCTGTTTTATCTTTCCCATCCTAATATTTATAAATCTTTTCAAAGTGTAAAAACAAAAACAAACAAACAAAAAAACCCATATTAACCTTATACACAGTATATTACTCAGTTATTTCCTGGAAAGGGAGCTTCTAAGAAAGTAAAGGATATTTTTTGAGATGGTCAATCCAGAAACATAATTATCATTTGGGTAGGTAAATGTAGACTCTAATACTATATACAGGACTGATCCCATAAAAGTGAAATTCTGGATGTAACAAAAATATTTTTAGGGCCTATCCAGTGGCCCAGTTAAGGAAAACCCTGGGCCAGAAAGGGTGGATAACCCCTGGAAGTTGCAGTAAAGGACTTTGACATGGATATTGCTGTGAAGCTGACTGATTCGGGGCACAGGTGCTGCCCAATTTTGTCACTTACAAGGGAGATGCGCCTCTCCAAGTCGATGGTTCTCAACTCCAGTCACACACTAAAATCTCCTGGAGCTTCATCCAGTACTGATAGCTCAACTCAACCTCACCTCCTTTAAATCAGAATCTCTGAGGGAGGGACCCAGGCATCAAGGCCCTTTAAAGTTCCCCAGGTGATTTGGATCATCCAAGATTGAGAACAGCTGGTCTAAGTGGTTAGTGGTTAGACTTAAATCCTAAAAATTAAGTAGGTAGATTTTCTACCAAATAGTCTGAGAATATAGAAACCCAACTAATCAATGGTGCCTTTATTTTATACACTTGTTTTTCACATCTAGACCCAATGTAAAATCTCTCTCTCTCTCTCTCTCACACACACACATACAGACATATCTAGATAATAAAAATCAAAGGGATTTTTTTAAGATTTATTTATTTATTTGAGGGGGGGAGGGGCAGAAGGAGAGGGAGCGAGAATCCCAAGCAGATTTTGCACTGAGCGCAGAGCCCCATGTGGGGCTCAATCTCACAACTCCAAGATCATGACCTGAGATGAAACCAAGAGTCGATGCTTAACCAACTGAGCCGCCCAGGCACCCCTCAAAGGGATAATTTAAAAAGGAGCATTACATATTTGGCATATAAATCTCTCATCAAGTCTCTTCAATTCTGGAACACAGTAGATCATTTCATATTGATTAACTATTAGAAAATATGTGAAAAAAATGCGATAAGGAGCTACCTAAACTTTTCCATGGGAAAACTGACTTACCAGGTACCAGAAAATCCTTTAGAGTAAAACAAAGTGAGACAAATTCCAGCTTTATGACTTGCTAGCTCTCTGACTCGTTCATTTAGCTGTTATGTCCAATAAATGTGAAAAGTCCTTGTATTATTTTCTTTAATTGTGCTTTAAGTCTTTCTTTGCTGTTTTATCTTCCCTGTGGTTACATTTTGTCTCATCATCTGGGCCCTTGTAAATTCCTTAAGATCACAGGCTACGTAGCCCTGCAGGTGCCCAGCACAGTGCCTTGCACCTCGTCAGTGCTCCTTCAACTCTCACTGGCTCGATTTGTACCTGAACATCAATCATTTGGCTCCTGAACGGTACACAGCTTCTCCTGGGGAGGGCCTGCACTGTCCCCAGCTGAACAGACAGATCCACTGGAGAGCAAACCCATGCAGGTGCTTCATTCATGGTCTGAGAGTCAAGTCTCATTTGTGGATAAATATCGGTGTCCATGAAATGACCCACTCCCCTCTGGGCTTCATATTATGAAAGTAGCAAAAGGCATCATCTTCATCTTCATCACCTTCAGCCTGCATTCTTAGTCTTCAAAAGCATCATGATAGACTTATTCTATGTTCTCAACTGCAGGTAGCTGAGCAGCTTATCAACCCATTTGGAGAAGATGATGATGATTTTGAAACCAACTGGTGCATTGACAGAAATTTGCAGGTTAGAGGAGCTTCTCTTTCCTGTGCAAACATAAATAATGAATCACTTGTGATGTTTCAAATCTGAACAGACTCTGAATACAGGCCCCTGAACTTCAGAACTTTAGTCACAGATGAAAGAGGTTTGGCTTTTCAGTATGTTGTCTTACGTCCGTTGCAGTGAAGTTTAGTCCCTTTTAAGCAGAATTTCAAGCCAATTTTCTTTGTAAGTTCCTTTGTTAGCTTTACACAGCCTCTTCCATCTTACTACAGAGCAATATTTTCATCCATTCTTTCATCTGTTTTCTGTTGCCACCCAAGTGAGGTTAGCAGGGACATAAAATGGCAGCCAGACATGATCTGGTGTGAGGTGAGTTCCTGAATTCATGTGATGTAGGAGCCTGCGGTCAGATGACTATGCAGCTGGACACTGGGCACGTGGGCCACACCGACTTGTGTCTCAAATCTGCCTGAACTAAACCAAATGGACCCCAGGACCCTGACCCCAAAGCATTATTCCAGAGAGGTTTTTCATGAAGAACCAGCATGAGAGATTTTTCCTTTCTGGCAGGACTCTCCTCAGACCATTCTCTTTCTCACAGGCTGAGAAAATAATTTCAATTTGTCTACTTGCTTCAGGCTCTTACTCAGCTCCTAAAGAGGTTCAAATGTTTCACCGTAGATCACTGTTGGTTCACAAACTGGCCCGAACGTGGAGGGTCAGCAGAGAGGGAAGAAAGGCCACTCCAGATTGGTAGGTGGCAGGTTGACTAAGCAAGGGGACTGAGAGACCAGACTTTGCTTGGGTGGCCGCAAGACAGGTAGATCTCCATGCCCACCTGCCAGAATCTTCTAAGTTTATACAGAGGCCTTAACTGGGTTCAGCCACACTTTCAGTCCAGATGGTCTCAACAACACATTGCTCTCCCAAGGCTGTGTCCTTGAAGTGGCTCCATTGTGGGAACAGTGAGCAGAATGTACATTCCAATGACAGGGGAGGGGTGGGGGGTGAGGGACCTACGATTGCCTGGGTTCAGCTCTCAGGTCAACAGAGGTTACTTCCTCTCCATTGACCTTCTCCAACAATCACACTGTCAGTCTGTCAGGGAGGAAGCATAATGGTTAGGCCACTTGCTCTTTGTAAAAATTGGATTTGCAGAAGATTAATAATTTATTCATGCATCAGTGTGTCAAAGTCAGGAAGAGACCGCTATATAGCCCCAGGCAGTGTAGACTTGCTGATATAGTTTTCCAAAAAAAACAAACAAAAAATCAACCCACATAAGAAATGATATCAAGTATAAGTATGTTTATGGAATCAACAGAATGGGATATTGAGACTCTTTAACTTCCTATAATATCTGGAACTTTAAGTTTGCTGTCAGGATAGCCATTAGACAACATAGTAACTTTGAACAAAGAAGAAAAAGGTGTCTCTCCTGCCTCCAGGTAAAACATAGCTTGCTCCATTCTGGGAATGTGGCTTGACAAAGCAAGTCTGGGCAGTTTTATAGCCCCACTTAACCCCCATTGCCAAGTGCTCTTGTGCAGTAAACAACATGTACAACTGTGTGGCAGCCCTAGTTACAACAAATATTGAACAATAGACATTTGTATATTTACTCTTTCAGACTGTTCTATCCTCCTGCAAATCCCATCCACCCACTGGAACTTTCTTTCTTAATACAACTCACAACCGAATTAATTCTAACAATAAAACGATGATTTTAGGTCTCTCTTTTAGCTGTGGATGAAATGCACATGAGCTTACCTAAGATGAAGAAGGACATTTACTGGGACGATTCTGCTGCTCGACCACCTTATACACTGGCAGCTGCTGACTACTGCATACCCTCATTTCTGGGGTCAACAGTCGAAATGGGGTAAGTGCATTTTTTTAAATCATCAATATTTAGAAAATAAGTAGGGCACTCTTCTGATTTTTTATGTCCTGATCTTGAATTTATTTTCGTGACAGCTCTCAATTATTAATATCTTAGGAGAGTAGCCTTTTCAAATTTTCAGATATAATTAATATGCCCAAGGAAGTTTGAGAGTAAAGAAACTATAGTTTCTGGTTTAAATGTGGTGTGTGTGTGTGTGTGTGTGTATTTGGGGGTAATTTGCACTTTACCTTGTTTTTATACCACAGAAAACTTTTCCAATAGTTATGAAACTATCCTCTTTTTTTTCCTTCCAATTTGAAAAGTAGTTTAATTATTCAATTATATAGTCATTTAATTATGATTATCATAATTAAATGTATTTGTAACAAGTATTAATTGAGCGTATATCGTGTGCAGGCACTGTGTTAGACTATGTGGAGACAAGCAAATCTTAAGGAATGAGATAAGTTTTATCAAAAGTTTTCTCTAGGATTTTAATTCAACTATGTTTAGTAGACCAGTCAGTCTCTGTTCTGCAGTTTTAACATAACAATCTGTCCCTGTGTACTTAGCTTTAAATAAATGGGCTGAGGCCTGAAGTAAATCATGCACAGTTTTTGAATAATTTTATTAAATCTGATAATGTATTTGATTTTGGAGAAATGTGTGAATGTGGGGGAAGTTTAAGTATATTTGCTGAAGGCAGATGCCACAGTTTCCAAGTAACTTAAAGAGAAGACTGTGGACAAATTTAGAAAAATAAGAAGAACCCCTCTAAAAAATTGTAGAAAAGGCAAAAAACTTTTGCAGGATTTTTCTTATAACTTTTGGCAAAACTGTTTGCTGTTCTTTGAGGCCAGCTCTCAGCAGATTTGTGAGGTGAGTTCATGTCCTATCATTGCCCCCTGGTACCTTCTTTCCTCTCCCCCACAGTGTTCAGCCCTCCTCTTTCCCTACCATCAGGATATCTAGCTTCCACCATATTCCTATAAGGCTTTATCCTTGGCAGAATGTCTCTTAATCCTAACAAATAATGGTTTATGGCACTCCTCCTCCAAAGGAGCCTCTGAGGCTAAAAGCCTTTCAAGATCCAAAGGAAAAGATGACAAAGTAGAATTTCAGGAGTTGTGGCAAATAATGAGATGATTTAGGAGCCAGGAGAGTTGCCTTGTTGTCCTCAAAGCACACCTTAGAGAAGGTTGCACATTCCAGGCTAGGCTTGCCTCTGCTTCTAGAGAAGGCCTGCTAAGCCGGGACTCTCCTGGCCAGAGCTTCCTCCAGCCTGGTGTGCTCATCTCCCCCTACCCGGTTGCTTGTGCTCCAGGAAGAGTCATTCACTGTTGTTTGCACTTCTCAGCCTTTTGTCATTCATTCTTTGGGGGCAGTTTCATGGATTTTGAAATCCTTCTCAATTTTGAAAAGTAACTGATGTTTTTCTGTGCGTTTGTTTTTGGACATCTCAGTAGGCTTTAACCTTTCCCTCCATTCCCATCACTGATTAATGCAAAGTGTTTGAAGATCTAATTTGTAAGAGAAAAGAAAGCAGCACATTTGATAGGGTCGGGGAATCATGGCGGTGATGCTATTTAGACTGTCAGCGCCCTTGGACTCCATTGCTGTTGTCCATGGGTAGTTGTTCATACAGGATTGTTAAAATGATATATTTTTGGTCTCAAGATTTTTATCTTGATCTGCACATTCATCCCTATCATCATAATTTTACATTCTCATGTAAGCGTCCATGTTCCTTAGAAAGTATTAGGATATATATTTCTCCTATTTCTAAATATAGAAACTCAGAATTAGGGATTTACAAGATCTCAAAGAAAATATCTACCCCCAAACAATTATTGAGAAGATTAAACGAGATTGTAAACCTAAAACACTCCAGATATAACCATAGAAGCGTTGTCAGTATGGACTTGTGTAAATCTCTCATTTGTGGATGTCAAAGTGAGGCATAGAAAAATTAAACAAGTCTAAGCCGTTATTTGTATTAAGCTAGTTCTGGGAAATTTAGGACAGAAAATAAAATGCTTCAGAGAAAACTAGGAGATATGATATTTAAGAATGCAGCAAAGTTTTTAGCTGTCAGAGAGAATTCCTGTAATTAAGACGGACTGTTTGTTAGCAGGATGGGAACAGGCACAGGTAAAGGCCAGAGTCTATTAGGGGAGGCATTTAACTGGACTCCTCTAGAACCAATTGATCAAATAAACAATCAGGCAAAAGCTCACTTGGTCTTGATTTTCTGCATGAATGAGGACCATTCAAGGGGAGCCTCACAACCCAGGAAAAGTCGCTCCAAGAATGCAGGCTTTCGGAGAATTCACAGAAATGTCCTCTTTGATCCATCACTGTAGATTCCTTCCAGGACTGTGCTATTAGATAAGCTGTTTTTGGTTGCCTGTGATGGAAAACCAACTCCAGCTAACATAAGCAAAAAGAGGTTTCTTGGGTCACATCTAGAGACTAGCCTCACTTTGAGTGTGGCTCGATCCAGAGGCTCAAAGAATGTCACCAGGACTCACTCTTGCCCTGTCTCTCTGTTCCCGCTTTTCTCTCCATTGGCTCAGGTTTCAGGCAGGCTCTCCCCTCCTGATGGCAAAATGGCAAGAGGGCAGCCAGAAGCTTTAGGCCTACAACCTATCTTCTCAGCAAATCCTATGGAAAGAGTACATCTCTTCTCCAACTCTTAAAATTAAAGTACTGAATTAATTGGCTGGGCTTGGCTAACATGCCCATTGTTGAACCAATCACTATCAACAGGGAGACATGATGTTTTGATTAGCCAAGGCTGGTTCACATGTCCATCTTTGGACTAAGGGGTGTGGCCAGCCCCAACCAACCATATGGAGTAGATGATGTCTTAAGAAAATTGGGGTGGTGGGGGCGCCTGGGTGGCTCAGTC